AAAAACTTCCGAAAAATGAAACCCCCGTCTCTTTATAGGGCTGGGTGGCACGAGAATCAAAGCAAAGGATTATCAATGGCACCAAAACCAAAGCGGCAGATGCACAGACGCTTCCTTAGGAAGATGCGCAATGATGACGCGCGTGGCCATGACATCACCCCACGATAGCCACACGAACCACAACTTTGCTGGTTGCGCCGTTCTCTCGACCTCGACCGATCCGACTTATCCAATACAACCAAATTTCTCCTCAACAAAAGCAAATCAAGTCCACTTATCGAGGGCGTGCAAGACCACGACCTTAACAAGCGGAGGGACTAACTATATTGGTCTAAATTTGGCGATTTGTAATAGTAGATAAACGGGATCAAGGACGGAGTCGACCATGGTGTAATAACGGGAAGCCGTCCTCGAGAGGGTTGTTGTCAAGGACGAGCAGCTGAAGTGAAGAAATAACGACAGGATAGGTTCAGATATGGACACAAGGAATATTCTTTTGGATATTCCTTATTTTGTACTTTTAAGGGTTTCTTGGAGATATCACTTATAAATAGGAAGAGATAGAGGACAAAAGGGGGGATCTTCACTTTCTGAGAGAAAAACACACTGTAAAAGATTGACTTGAGAGAATATACGAAAAGTTGTCTTATTCATTGATTATAGTATTCAAAGCGCATGTTGTTTAGCCTTTGTCCACAAAATCTAAAGATTCCATAACCGTCTTCATTTCTCTTCTTTCCACGTTGCTGTCAAGGGAAGGAACCATCCAAATCATATAATAATTGGGTGGCAGATTCCTTCTTATTACATTTATTGCCATTCTCTACATTTATTGCATATTTATGTTATCACATTTACTAGCATTCACTGAATATAAACGTGCTATTTAACGCTATCAAACGTCGTTCACCACACCGATTCTCTACCACATTCGATCTAGAATTTATTATTTTTTACTAAGGTTCATCGTACATCTCATCATTAATTAGTTTAATTAGAAGGTTCGACTTTTTTTTGGTCAAACACGTACATTATCAAGGGTTTCAACTTTCAATAGATGGTACAGAAAATTCGAAAAAAGATCGAAAAGAGACATTAATAATAAAAGTTGCATACGCAAATAAACAAACTTGGAGTTGAAGCATGTCTCTCATCTTCAGAATTATACACCAGGTATCTAAGTTGCATACAATATTGACAGTATACTCTTTTTAGTATCTAAGTTGCACTGTTGAAAACTGTTAATTTGATAAATAAATATTCAAAATGCCAAAATATATGGACAAAAGCTACCTTAGCCACCTTCTGTCAACACATAAAAAATCACTTGCAAGTTATATTTAGGTTACAAATTATTTTCAAATCATGTTTGAGCTCCAATCTTACAAACGTGTGCCCAGATGGGGCTAAAATGCAATCTAGATGCGTGTGCACTGTGCCCAAAGTACAACACACCATGAAACCAAAAGACTTGCTAAAAATTACTAATATTATTTCGTTTGTATTTGCTAATTCAAAGCAATCTGTTTTTATCTATTTATTATTAAAAGAAGAGAAAAAGCATCAACATTAAGCCAAGTGACAACTTCACAATAGGCCACTTGAAAATTTAGGACAAAATTAATTAGGTTAGGTAATTAGTTTTTTTAATTTAAATTTTAAAAAATTTAAATTATGCATTTTTAGTTACTCTTTTTGAGTTAACAAATTTGGAGTTTCAACTTTCAAAATTATTCTAAAATAAAAACGAAAATAATAAGAAGAAAAAAACCGCAAATTCAAATTGGGAAATAGTTTCTTTCAAATAAAATATTAATATTGAATATTTAAAGTTTCATACTTAATAAAATTTTACTACAATTATAGTTACAATTTTTATTATTATTGAATGAAAGAAAAAAATTTGAATCTAATAATCATTAATTGACAATATTAACAATGATAATAATCATACTAAAACTTTTGAATTTGATCTAAAATTTATCCCACTACATATCACGAAAATAATAAATTTTATATAATTTATTATTAAGTTTTAAATATACTTTACTATTTTTTTGCAAAATAATAATTTTTCTATATTAAAAATTATTTATTTTGAAACCCTTTTTATATTAAATTTTAAAGTTACCGACAAATAATATAACTTCATATATTATATTAAAATCTAAAACACACGATCTTTAATATTCTTATTAGATTATATCACTTCGAGATTTTGTATATATTTGAATTGATATAAAAAAAAATATTAGTCTCGCATGTCATTATCGATCACATAAATGTATATAATAATTACAAAAAGCATAGTAAAAAAATATAAAAATCAGAACTTTATATTGAAAATAAAATAGAACAAAAGTTTAATTTCTTGTTTCATATAATGTAGAAAAAATATTAAAGATGTTGATACATTTTACACAAATTAATAAAATAACATTTTTTTGAATGAAGTAAAAATCAAAATTTATATTAACTATGAAATTATTTCAGTCATAAATTATGGATAACATACTAATTTAAGGAATAAAAGAATGTAACTAAATAATAATCAATATATTATTGATAAATTTAGACAATTAAAGAATTAAGAAAGATCGAAAGTAAAGCCAAGTGGTAGTCAAGCTTGATATGAAGCCAAGTGGCGCTTATCCCTTTCTTCATTAAGATGGAGTTGGTGTTCAGTGTACCCACCTACTCACTCGCGGAAGAGAAGAATAGATCCATTGGCGGGGGTGACTAACCGTGGTTCGGCTGTCGCCCTAAGGTTACGATCCGTTGGGTTGGGAACCAACCTGGATCCACTTTCCTCCAAGAGCCATACCGATTGAGAAGGAGATAAAGTTGAAAACAACCGCATTGAAAAAAGTAAAAAATAAATATAGAATGATGAGACTTATTTAAATTTAAGATGAGAAAGCGAATTTTCAATTATGAAGAAAAAAATACAATAGATAATATCACGTAATTAAATTTTTAATAAAATTAAAATCAAATAATATTGAATAATGAAAGAATTTTAAGTAACGAATAAATAAACTTACTCATAAGAAGAAGAAAAAATTATTATTAAATTATAAAGATAAAACTTATTTGAATTTGAGAAGACAAAGTATCTTTTAAATTATAATGAGAAAACTCATACAAATAACAAAATATAACTAAAACTACAATAGATAATGTCAAAAATAAAAAATAAAAAAAAATGTAGAACGATGAATGAATTTCAAGTAAAACAGTAATAAATTAATAATCAACTTTGTTAAGAGTAGAAAATCTATATAATCTATGTTATATTAAAAGATGTAATAAACAAGGACATTAAATTTAAAGACAAACTAATAAAAAAATCACATGATAGTGCAATCATACTGAATAACGAATAAATTAATAACGATAACTCCTTACGTTTTAATTTATGTGAACTTGTTTGACTGGCAAGGAGTTTAAGAAAAAATGAAGACTTTTGGAATTTGTGGTCTTAAACAAATCAAAATGGGGCCCACAATATTTATGTAGTTATAAAAGCTTCTCATTGAGGGTAGAATAGTAAGTTTAAGCTAAATTTTTTCCAAATTTAGAAAGGGGTCATTCTTTTTGGAACGGACCAAAAAAAAATAGGTTCATATAAATTGGAACGTAGGGAGAATATGTATTAAATCATAAAGCGTTTTTGAGTTATAATGACAAAAATCATTCATATCTAAAATATCACATAACTTAAATCTTAATAAATAAATCAACATTTAGAAATATTAGGTAATGAAAGAATATCAAGCAATACATCCGATTTTCTTATTGGTCATGTTTCATTAGATGAGAAAAAGGAAATTGAAATTTAATTCAAGCAATATGATATAATATGGTCAAACAGGTTAGATCACATAACATGATTTATATCTTTGCGTATCACGCGGGTGCTATACTAGTTTTTTTAGAAAATTTTACCTCCTATAGCAAAGGTATAAACCCTATTTATTATAAACTAAAATTATTGTAAAATATTATTTTCTATAGCTACCTTTTATATTTTATAGCAAAATAAGTATTTATGGTATATACTACCATTAAGGCATGAAATACGCTATTTATGTTTTTCCTCTCTTTTAGACAGCTGGGCATACCTATTTTTAAGATGATTGTCGTTATTGTATTCATGAATACATGACGCGAATACATGTGAATACATCCGCGTATAGCTGGACTGCCCTGATTTTAGGCTCTTTTTACTGCTACAGCAACGTGAATACATGTGAATACATGTCGTGCAGCTGGACTGCCCTAATTTTAGGCGTTCTTTGTTGTTGTATTCATGAATATATGGTGCGAGTACATGTGAATACATGCGCGTACAGCTAGACTGTCCTGATTTTAGGCGCTTTTGCGTGCTGTATTCATGAATACAACAACGCGGATACACGTGAATACATGCACGTACACCTGGGCTACCTTGATTTTAGGCGTTTTTGTTGTCGTATTCATGAATTCATGGCGCGAATACATGTGAATACATGCGCGTACAGTTAGACTGCCCTGATTTTTAGGTGTTTTTTGCTGTTGTATTCATGAATACAGAAACACGAATACTTGCACGTACAGCCGGACTGTCCTGATTTTAGGTGCTTTTTGCTGTTGTATTCATGAATACATGGCGCGAATATATGTGAATATATGCGTGTACAACTGGACTGCCTTGATTTTTAGGCGCTTTTTGTTATTGTATTCATGAATACAACATCGCAAATACAATGAATACACTAAAATAGTAGCTATAAGAAGTTAATTATGTATATGGTAACTATAGAAAGTTAATAGCCACTAAATAATAATGGTTTCTGAAAATTCTTTTTTTATTTTTTAAGAGGAGGAATTAAATTGGCATTTCATCCCATTTCTCTTAATTGCAAATGGGTCCGTAAACAAAAGAACTTTGCATTATAGTCCCCCTCATTTTTGGGATTGACAATGCATACCCGTTGGAACTCTTTCTCTCTGCATTCACTTCCAGGTAATCTAGAAGCTTCTTCTTCCTCTTCTTTCTTCTCATTTCTCAGCATTTTTCATTCAATTTCCTCTTCACACAATTGCAGAGCGAAAGGAAGAAACAAACGAAAAATCAAGAAGGAAATGGCGCATATGGTGAGAAACATGAGGGTCCCACCAAACTCGGCGAGTTTGGCCGAGGCTAAGAACAGGACCTTAGAATTCTTCAGGATGTGTTGCAGATCCATCCCTGAGATCATGGATATGTACAATTTGTACGACGTCGTTTCTCCCTCCCAACTCCGTTCCGCTGTCGCTGCTGAAGTTCGTAAGAATTCCAACGTTACTAATCCTAAGGTACTCTGTTCTTTTATTCCTCCTTAAAACTAAATTAATTATTAATTATGTCTCATTATGAACCAGTTAGGGTCTGGTTACTGAATCATACTATGTATTATTTGCAATTAGACTATTTTTATTTGGGCTGTTAATTTACAACAACCCTCTTTTTTTACCCGCCAATTCAGGCAAACCCGGTTCAAATGAGAGAAAACTCTCATTTCTTGGTAATTGACAGTGTAAAAATGGTGAATTTATTTGATTGATTTGATAAAGTAGTTGCTGATGACTAATGGTGAGATAGAAATTGAATGACGTATCAGAATTGCTTGATAGAAAAGATTATGCGAGTAAATGGGCTGCGTATTCTGTTGTCATCGGGTATAACAGACAAGGGGAAAATATGAAGTCTGATGATAAAGTTTCTTAATTTTGTTCTTAGTTGCTGTAGGATATCTTAATCTTTACCATATTTGAGGAAGTTTTGATCTTTCTTGAAGAATAAAGTGCATATTAGCATTTCTGTGTTTCCCTTTGGTTTTCAAGAGTTGAGGGTGAGTGGAGTTTAGGGAGGAGATATAGGAGTATTTGCTGGAATCTGGAGCCAAGTTTGCTACTGAACTGAAATGAATTGAAGTGTTGGATTTAAAACATCCATTATTGGATTTTAGCTCACTTCACTGGCAAGATATAATTGGTTGCTAATTTGAACCGATACTCAGGTGAATCAAATGGATTTTAACAACCAGCAAACAAGTTTGAACTGGGCGGTTATTCATTTTGATCCAAATGGCGCTTACCTTGGATTTCCAAACCAGTAAAACAAAATTTTAACAGAATTCTAGTTTTGGGTTTGATTAGGTAGCTGATGAAGTCTAAATGTGGCTTCTTCTTCTAGGTAGTTGCTTGTAGGATTCAGAAAGACTTATTACTGCTGTTCAGTTTCTTGAGATGTTGACCTACTTAGAAAAGACCAGATGCAAATATGGGTTTGATTGATGCCGGCGCTTAAAATCATATTTGAAGATCTCTATTGTAAAAGTACGTACAGGGCAGAAAGAAGAATATTTTAGTCAAAGAAATTGCTGACCGACAAAATGAGCTTCTGGTGATTTTGTTGTTAGACTAAGGCCGTGATACTAAGCGGCTAAATGCATTCCCTTATCAAAAATAAACAAATGTAAACAGCAGATAAACGAATTCTGCTTATTCTCTAACTTGGAGAATCTGATGGTGCATTGTCAAGATGCCTCTCTGATTTATATGTTATATATGGAACTCTTTGGTATTTGCTTACCTATCAGGGCAATGTTCGTTTGCTCGGGCCCTGTGCTTTAGATAATGATGGATCTTTTGATTTTGCTGCTATTTCTTCAGAGATTAGGCAAGGTATGCAGGTAGAGCTTACTAATGATCATTGAAAACTGAGGATACAAAAAACCTATTAGATTGAGGGAAGAGAAGGCTATATATAGTTGCATAATATCTTCTCCCTGCAGGACAAGAATAGCCAAGCACTTATTTTCTACGCTTGCAATTCCTCAAGTTGTGATTTCTGTGTTCGTTAGATCTTTATCATTAGATACCTCTTGTTTCTTCTTTATTACATAATAATTGGTTTCACATTGTATTAGATACTCTCTTACCATTTAGTACATACAGTGTATATGATCTCCTTTTTTCGTTCTTCTTTTATTTTTGTTTATGTTTTTTGTTCTTTCCTTTTGGATAACAAAGGTTATATTGATGAGAGTATTGAACAATTCAGGAGCAGACATCTCATGAAGCAGGTTATAAAAAAGTTGAATTAGAAACGCTAATACATCGAAAAGAATATAAACAATATCGTTGTCCCTTCTCTTTTCTGCTTGTTTCAATTTTGGTTTTTGTTTCTTGCCTTAAATTATTTCACTTGGATTAAGCGAGTGTTTATCTCTAAGATTGCAAATGCGTTATCATGTAATTGATGTCTCACTTTTCTTGTGAGTGAATTATAAAGAAAGCATCCAGAATGTATTTTGTACTTTGAGTGAAGATAAGGGGCTCCTCTTCTTCTTCTTCTTCTTCTTTTTTTTTTTTTACTGTTTTTGTATTTTTTTCATTTTAGCTTTTTTTTTTTTTT